GACGCAGTTAAGCCAGGCACTTTTATCTAGTTGTTTCCAGTTCAAACAACTATTTCCGACTTTTTCTGTTGGATTCGTAAAGGGCTTGAGGCCCTGCAGCACTGGTCTAAGAAACTGAAATAGTTACCAGCTAAAGAGAAGGATGTTTCCCGGTCATTAAATCTATATTTATATTTCATTTCCCCATATATATATATATGTACATATATACATATGTATATATATATATATATATCACCAATATCTCTATTACCAAAAGTAACCACCTGCTGGCAAGGTTATGGATGGTTCTCTCTTTCAAAAGTTACTTAGAAGCAAGCTGATGGCGAGTTTGACTCCATTGCATATGTCAGTACCAATTTACCATCGAAACGAGTGAATGAATTTGTAGCAGAGACTGACTGTCTCAAATAAAAAATAAAAAGTATGAAAATACTGTGAAGGAATATGTTTTAGACCGAAGTGGATGCCTAAATGTCGTCGCAGTGCTCAGATTAATGAGCCTTGGGGATTAGGCCAAACTGCTACTTTCATTTTTTTGTCACCTTCTATTGCTTGCTCATGACATATTGCATACTCACGCAGCTAGTGTGACATAAATCCATAATCCGCCTCCTCACTTCAATTTTTGAGAAAAAAAGCTCGTTTTTTTGGTATCTCGTGCACCTCTTCCAATGCTAAGGCTTTCAAACTTTATCTTACAAACCACTAAAATAGACGAAAACGAAAAAGGCCTCGCACAACTCTCCTCCATGCACTAGGACTGCACCAGGGTTCAGGATGTCTAAGACTTAATTTGGATTAGCTTTTAAGAACCCCTCCCCCCGCCCCTTAGTCGGCTTAATTTTTTATTAATTAGCCCGAAATGGGTGCAGTATTAAGCACACAGAGGTAGAAGGATATATCCGAACATATATATACCCATATTTATCCGAACTTATATATATCCGAACTTATAGCGGAGTATAAGGATATATCCGGACATTCGCGCTGAGAACCTAAGTAGTTGTGGCAAGCTCAGAAACGAGAAGAATGGAGAAGTTGCCAGCTAACACTGATGGTGAAAATGAACATGACGATAAAATTTGAGCTATGGTTAAAAGAACATATAAAATTAAGAAAAAAATTACGTTCATTACGCTGTTTACATAGTGATGAGCTTGTTGTGCACCCAGTGCCCACTATTCTTGGAAACTATCAATTTTGCTAATTTGCAGCTAAAAAAAGCCAAACCTGGCAGAAAACAATCTACACAATAGTAACGAAAACCCAAAAAGCGTAAAACATGAAATCCTGCCGGATACCACGACGATATTTTCCACCACCTTGATGGAGCCCCAGGATTACAATGACACCCTCAATGATCACAATGAGGCTTAACCAGATCACAAAGGAGCCCACGAAGCCTTTTAGAATTGATGGAACCCCTTTCAATTTACGACGGAGCCCGTCAGGATTAAGAAATAGTCCGCTTGGATCAAGATGTCCTTTGTCCCAGATCACGATTAAGCCCTTCAAGATGTCCCGAATCATGATGGAGCCCTTCAAGATTACGACAGCGCTCTCCCGGATCATGATGACAGCCTCAATGGTTTCCTAGATTCCAGAACTCCTTACTACACTCGGAGTTCAG